TTGTTTAAATGTACTGTAAACATCTAAAATAATATTAGTAATATGCTTATTAGAAGACAGTTTATATTTTAATAGAGCTTGACTAAATAATGAAATTCCAGTAAATCAGGTATTTGATAAAGATTTTATACATGTATGATTTTAAACAAATGGAATTCCCCAGTGTGGTCACTGTGGACAGACAGCACAGTGGTGTCTGAACTCATATAGGGTTTATAGTAGCTGTTGTGAGCCACCCACATCGGTAAATATTTTTTGTCCAGGACAACGTGGTGCTGTACACACACGTTAGCCCGCTCGGCCATCCCACCCCTCAGTTGGGATAACAAAGCCAATAGGAGTGAAGTCAGTGTATGTAAATGGAATCTGTACAAGGTTTGTAATCACGCTGCCCAAAGGGAAGTTCCCAAGTAAGAGAAGCATACTGATTTAATGGAGTTTCCTCAAAGGTCTGCTGGTTAGAATGCAAGATCCAAACAGGTTGAAATATATAAAGAGAAAACCCCAGAATATTCTTAATGTTAGAGGTGTGAAATTACCACTTTCAAGACCTGCATCCTTTTGCCAACTTATTTTCCTGAACTTCTTCATTACTGAAACCAAAGAAATAACAGATGATTTATTTTAATATTTTAGATAAACATACTCAGAAATAATTAAATCACTTTTCTCACTAGTATAAATAAACAATGTTTTTTAAATCAGGATTTAGAGGAATATTTTTATTAAATGTAACAACACATATAATTTCAATTTTAATGTTACTTCGAACCAATATCCTTTTGTAGTATCACTGAAGCCAACAAATATACTGTTAGTTGCTTGACTCATAAAATTTTGTTACAGTATAATTATATTTCATTAAGCTAATCCAAATTTCATTTAATTGGGCTAGTTTCAGTTCTGTTCTAAGCATAAACTCTGCCGAGTTAACAAACTTCCTTATCTTTTAAATATTTATAGTATGATTATTTATCTCCAGAAGCTTCTTCAAATTCACACTTCTGTCGGAAGGCCACTTCTCAGTTCTAGACTTATCTCCCCTAACACCCTTGATTAACATATTATATGACACTTCTAATCATTCCAATTGTCTTGTATGGACAACTTAATAATACTTTTATTTTCCATTACACAAAATTTGGATGTTAAGCCAACTGGAAACATGAATGTAAAAATAAATATATCAATATAAACGGAAATAATCCACAACAAAACTTTATTAATGAATAAAATTGTAGCCATAGGATTGGGTCTAGAACCAAAAGAGGATAACAAAGGATAAATAAAATTTCTTTATTTGAAAGAATAAACACTTTAATAAACATGTAACAGCAAAACTGAAAAGTGAGGTTCTATTATAAAAACTACCAAAAAAACAAAAAAAAAAAAAACACTGAGCACAATAAAATGTCATATTACCATGACAATACTTCAAATCGATATTTGATATATTAAACTACATATGAATAATCTTTTAATTGTTTCCACAATGCTCTAAATTAAAATTTTTTATAGTACACAATTTTTCATCCATAAATATTTCTCTTAAAATTACTTAAATAAATCTCAGAGTTAAAAAATTAAATAAATAAACAAATTTTTATTTACCTTATTATAATTTAAATTATTTTCACTTTCTATCCCACACATATTGGAAGATAGTGGGTGAACAAACGTTCATCCATTGTCATTCAATACTTGAAATATTGAACTCAACAGAATAAACATAAATGTTTTTAACTGTATCTCCAATGTTCTCTTAATCGCTATTTCATGTATTCATTGGCAAATATTTACCTTCAAATTGCTATAAAAAAGTTTCAAGACTAAAACAAATCATTAACAATTAAAAATGAGCTGTAAAGAAATCTTTCATTTTTATTAGGATTTAATAAATAACCTATTTCTCTCTCATTATTTAAATAAATAAAAATACGAAGTCCAAATAAAAGCTTTATACAAAACCATAGTACTTGATAGAACATTTATTTCACCTTTTTTTTTCTAACCACAGGCAATAGGTCATTTTCCTTTAAATTTCAAAGAAATGAAATCCTCGATGTAAGTAAATATTCCCCTACATTTGGTAGCATGTATTAATGACATCAAGCTCCAACAAACAATTTAAACAAGAGAAAATATAGCAAATCTTACCTTTGTTTATAAATCCATATTAAAAAATATTTACTGTAAATATGTTAGTTTATCCAGTACTTTTTGAAGCCCTTGTTTTTTTTTAATATAACCATACAAGGTTCTGTAGAGATAAATTATGATCTCCTGCAGACCCGTATGGTGTTTTCACACATCAAGATAAATTGAAAAAATATTGCTCATTCCATATAACAAACAGTTTAATGTTGACTGTTTTTCTTCACACAATTTAAAATCAGGGCTTTAATGCAATATACATAAATTTAATTAATTGTAGTGCTTTGAAGACACTGGAAAGCAAAATAATCCAATTCAAATATGATAAAAAAAAAAAAACAATTTTTAAATACACAGATTAGTTAATAGGTAATATAACTAAACTACAAATATACTCTTCACACTCAATAAGCTTATGTCAACTTAAATGGGAAACAAGTTTCATTTCATTAAACATTTTTTAATATAGGTATAATTAAGAAATAAACCAAGAAGTAAACTTTAGAGATGAAAAATTCTCATTAAAACATATGCATGCAGGCAATACTTGGATTGTTTCAATTAAGCAAAAGGCACAATTGTATTAATAAACTATCATATAAATATTCTATTTTTTTTTTTTTCCCTTTTGAAGATAGTAAAACAGAAAGAACGCAATGTTAACCAATTTGATGAACTACACTTTGCTATTCCAAGTTATTTGCCAAATCTAGCTTATTGTATTTCTTTATACAGTGAATCATTCGAAGTTCACTGCGTTTGTTCTCATGAATGTTTTTTATATGTAATACAATTAAAATAAGCACAAAGAAGTGGCAAGTAAATCTTTTATAAGCTAAGATAGTATTTACATAGATTACATTATCAACTAAATAATCAGATAAAAATACATATAAATTAGAAGGATAAGGATTGATTTTTCTTGAGTACCCTAAAGAAGTAATTTCAATTAACAAATTAGCAGAGCATAAAATTCCATTTAAGACATATAGAGTATGATCAATGGAATTATGTCAACAATTCTAACCAACTTAAAACAGGAGAAAATTGGATAAAGCAGATTTATAGTGCCTTGAACTTGTCAGTCCTAGATTTTTTTCTTTTCAGTATATTTTATAATTAATTTTTAATACTGTTAAAACATAAAAATCAACAAATTTTATCATTAACATTATACCAACCTAAAATTAAGATTATTAACTGAGAAATTAAATTGGAATGCCAATAAACTGAAACATTCGAATTTTTAAAGCTTTATCAATCTTAAATTAATCGTATTACAATTTGCATTTAACTAATTCACACTTCTGAAAAACGAATTATCAATATGGAGTGTTGATTAAATTAAAGCTTAATTAAAGCTTCAGTCTCTAACATGGTTTCAGAACAGATTCAATATAGTCTTCATCTATCTCATCAGCCAAATCTGTGAAAATTGATCCCTGAATCTCCGAAATTCACCATCTTCAAAAGTCACCATTGCAGTAAATGCGGCTATAGATAATTTCAAGCCAGACTTTCTGCAGATAGTTTCTGGTGCAATCTTTTTTTTTTCTATCTACAGGATATTAAGTTCATCAAAGTCTGAGGATGCATCTTTCTGGAGACATTAGTACTGGAGTTAATAACCTGAATCTTTCTTCCACTGTCATTCAGAAAAAATTAAAATTCAAGGATCCGAAATGAAAAATTAAAGGCAATGTTTATCAAGTCATTGATGGGAACTCTAAAATGTATTTGGTCAGCTACTAATACAATATAAAATTTTGACTTGAGAATGAATTTGATTAATTGTGAAGATTCTATCTTCGGTGCTTATAATTCCATGGATGTTTCCTGTAATCTCTAGTCGATGTAGTTATCTATCAATAAAACTATACCTAACAAGGTATCAATAGAAATTTGCTTAAAATGATCCGAAATTTTATTCTTGAAAGTGAGTCGTATCTGCCTGGCACAATTGATCACTTTGGATTGGCAAACAATGTTTCCTATTACCTCTAATTAACCAATAAAACTTTGTTGAAATAGTTAGAAATTTCAGTTCTGAATGTGAGTTTTTGAGACGTCTCCATAGCATAATCGACCACTTTAGATTGCCAGATGGTGTGTCCTGCGCTGTCCTATAATATTTATTCAGCCAGTTTGAGTTGGCAGAGCTTTTATTATACCCAAAAGGAGTAATATCTGCCAGTCACGTTGAAAATTAGCTTAAAATACCTCTAGCCAACCCTGACTCCAGGTCTATCTGAAGTGGGGGAGGCATACTCTCATGGGAGCTGTCAACACATCCGTAAGTTCGGTCGGAAGTAGTTAAGATACACAATGTTATGCTTTTTTTGGAAGCTCTGTTTTTTATTGTTTTTGCCTTTTTTTTCTATTTATGAATTTTAATTACTAGATAACATAAATAAACAAATAATGATGTAGAGATGGTTGACCGTGATATAATATGAGAAGGAGTTGGTCAGAGGTAGAGAGGGGGAGGAGAGGGTGCAGTCAAATAAATACTAAATTTTTAAAAAATAGTATTTTTAAATAAACAAATAATTAAAATGGTTAATAATTAGAGTGCCCAACAAAGTTAGTCTGCTGAAAATTTATTGCAACAGTACAGCAATAAGAATACAAGGTACATAACTAAGAAATCTTATAAGATATATGTCTAATATATGTTATATTACATATATCTAAGATATATATCTATATATAGACCACAAAAAATAAAAATAATATTAGTCCTAGGAGACAGTATTTAGAGTTTGAATATTACCAAATCGCAAACATGAAAAATTTAAAATAATCAAAGTGAACCTAAAGAGATAACATAAATTATGTTAACGCTACAATGACAAAAATTAATCAAATAAAAAATACACAAAGTTGTTCAGTATTGATTATTTGTTTCTCTAATAGAATTGGTTTTCAAAACAATAAATAAATTTTTTAGAACAATATATTAACAAAAACATTAAATATTACAGTTATATACAATAAAATATCAGCATTAAATATTTATTCATATAAATTAATAAATTTCAATAAATAATAACAACAAAATTTAATTTGATAAACATTATATTGTTTTGTTTGACTCATATCGTAATTACTCTGCATACTTGTCTCACTCGCAAATTACAAATAGGACACCTCCCTATTTGCTTAACAGTTCTAACCGAACACTTATAGCACGAATAAACATGAACAATGTTGTTATGAACATACCCCCCATCCTTTGATCGAACTAAGCAAGTACCACAAAGCTCTTTTCTATGAATAATGTCCGGTTCAGGATTATTTTCAGTCATTCCTTCAAACGCTTTTTCAGATAAACCCTGAGAAAATTCAGAAACAATACCACTATCACAGGATGATCTAACAATATCATCATTACTTGAATTGCTAGTGCAAGCCTTTTTCTCAGTCTTATTTTTTCTTCCTCTCGGTCGTGGAGGAAAAAAGTTCTTCCTTACCTAGGAAAAAAATCATAATAAACAGCACTACAAAATTAATACCATTGGTACAAAAGAAACCTAAAACATTAATTCCAGAAATGATAATTGCAATATCAGGTATTGGAAAACCAATCTCTATATTTTTACTTTTTAAAAAATGAAGTCAACTCTTGATAACCCAAAATTGTTGACATCAAGTTTTTTCCTGGACATTTGAGAAAATTTTGTTTAGTCAAAATAATCAGCAACATTCCAAGATGGTACTAAAAAGCAAAAGTGCAATGAAGCACTAAGTTTAAAAATCTTAAATAAGTAATCTGTTGAAAATTATTGTAAAACTGGTGTCTCTGTTATATAATTATTAAAAAAATTATCTTAATTTCAATAGTTACTTTGTTACTCAAATTCTCTCCCTCCATTTGCCATATTGTACACCTATACCAAAGACACCAGTCACTCAATATTCGGCAATCATGGTCTTGAATATGGTATTTAACACATTGTGGACAGGATATACCAAAAAACAATAAGTAGAGCATGGGTCATGCAGTTATACTTTTTTATTTAGTCAAACTAATTATTACAAAGTACTAACATATGTAAAACAAGAGATTAGATGGAAATAATAATGGTGAACTGTATTAAATCCCACTCAAACCGTAATGTATGGGGACAAAATATCTGATCATGTGTTAATGTAAATCTTATGTTTTTTAGTTCCCATAAAAGCATCAACAAAATCATTATATTTCAAAATAACTCTGGATTTATAAATGTAATGGCAAATAATTCAATATGAAATTCTCTTTTTAACTCCCAGTATCTTGAATAAAATATAGCTCTATAACACTATATGTCCAGAAATTATCTCAATTTCAAGCATTTCCTTGTTACTCAAAGTCTCTGCATTTATCATATTATACACCAATACCAAAGATACTAGTCACAAACATTTACCGTTAATACTCATACTAGTTTCCTTAATAATTCTTATAAAATTAAGTTATCAAGAGTTGACTAGTTTAAAATAGTAAATGCTGTTATTAATTTAAAATTACCGTGATCACTTAAATATGTTATACTGTCCAACCTTTTATGCAATGAATAGAACACTTTTGCTTTAACAAATACAAATAGTTTAAAAAAACTGTTGCGGTGCACACATCACACAACTTTCACTTACACACTTTTCTTAGCAGAAATATTAAGCATTTTCAGACAAAGGAAAGAGAAAGTAAAAATTATAGACAATACGATTTAAAACAATTAATTACCATTTGTTTTTCAGAGCAGTGTAATGTATTATCTTTATTTTGTTTGTCACTAGCCAGTTCCATTTATGACTGTATATTTCAATTATTAATTTGATTATGATAAATAATTAAGTTCCACAAAATAGTTTTAGTCCGACAAGAGTGCCACTGATAAAGAAGGCCGCTATATTTATTTATAATTCATTGTAGGTATTTTTGTTTGTTTAGGTATCAGTATATATACAAATTTTAATTTTTATATTGCTGTAATCTAAAGTATTAAATATTAAATAATACCAATGCTAGTATTTATGAAAGTTGCTTATATATATATATATATATATATATATGCAATTGTAATGTAAATATTACATAGTGATTCTGAATAGGGACGCGAAGGCAGTGACGTCACGAACTTCTGTCAAAAATGCACAAGGAGAACAAGAATGACAGATGGTGGGGGAAGAAGAGCCAGATAGAACAGAAGGTAGCCAGCCGACTAGTAAATAAGATCGAGAAAAGAAAATATGAGTTAACAAGTAGTGAGTGTCAACAAAGGAAGATTAGAAGATTGAAAGAAGTTGGTACAATACAGAGGAAGATTCACTGCAGAACAGAGTGACATTTGGAAAGCACGCTAAGAGTAGACCTCGACAAACAATGGAAATTCATAAATTTTATGTACAATTAATGTATACTTTTATAGTGTCTTATTGAGGATATGTGTTTGTTGTCTCAACCCAACTTGAGAATTCATTATTGTGTAAAATAAATATTTGATTCTCGTATTTCTTAGGTCCCTCTATTACAACTATACTCCATTAAGATCTCTTATGTCTCCTTTAGTTAATCATCAAATTCTTTCATATTTAATATTTAACCATTTTATGTACCAAGTTACAATGTGAAATGGTTAATTATTTCAAATAAAAAACATTAAAGGTACTATAGAGGAAAAATTTTTGAAAATAAGCCATTCATGCCCTGTTAGAGAACATTAATGAGAATAAAACCTACATGATATTTAAAACTGCTTAATAATACACTGGTATAATGAATTTAATCAAAATCGCTAATCCGTTTTTGAGAAAATTGTAAATATGTTAAATCAATAATATAAAGCGCTATTTCAGGTTAGCTGATTTTGATGGAAAAGTTGTTGTAAGATGCTATTAAAATATGCAATTTCACTTTCGTATAACTTTTTGTTTTTGACTGTTAGCACTTGACTAGATTGTTAACATACACACACACCATGTAAATACCATAGGTGGAGACAGTGCCAGACCGAGGCAAATTTTAGGATGCAGCGAGATCCAATTTTGGCACTCCTCCTGTTATAACAATAGCTTATTTTTAAAATAGGACACATTTTACATACCACTCATTGTGTGGATGCGTACATACGTATGTGTATGCGCTTTTTTATCACTTATAACTTTAGAATGAGTAGTCCAATATAAAATATAATTGATTTTTTTAAGTTTTGTAGAGATTATCAGGGTATTTCTAAATCTGTTCATCCCATCTCTTAGCGATATTTAGTTTCAAAGCTATGAGTGTTTATAGCGATTTTGGTTATTCAATGATAATTACTTTAAAAATTAAAATTTTCAAACCAGATTAATATTGTTTAATAATGGTATGGAGAAGATACCTATAGATTTTGGTTGAAATTCGATCACCCACACATAGCTTGGTTTTATAAAAAACATAACTTGAAAATTAAGCAACGTTTGTAAATAAACGACCTACAATAACGAAAAATGCGTCAGGAATAAAACACTTGGAAAATACATTTTTCTTTCTAAATCAGTGATTAATTTTTGAAATATTTGGAACCATTCCTAAGGAAATGCACTTAATCTGGTGAAAAGCAGTTCTAGCTTTTTCATTACAGGTTCCTCAGCTTTGGTATATAATATAGGAGGGGAACTTGCAACCTCTAATAGTGTAGATGCAGCCTTGCTCCAAGCTGCATCTGAACTATATGAGTTTTCCAACAATATTCATAAATGATAAAAATGGTTCTTCACCTTAAGTATGTACCAAAGGGAGTTAACAACAGTTAGACTTTGTTGGAAAATTTATTTTTATTTCACGACGGGTATTTTATTTATTTAAGCTTATATATACAAACTTTACTTTTAACATTGTAATATATATAATTATTAATTAAGAACAGAGACGGTGTTAATGGATGCCGCTCAAAAACTCAGAAGGAGCACACCTGACCTTTGATACATATCACTGTTCTTTCAAAAGGCAACAAAACAAGTATTCTAAGTCTTAATGGAAAAATAAAATATAGTCTACCTTTATCTTACGATTCAAGTGGAAAGAAAATGGGTATTTACGAGTTTTTAGTACATAATTAAATAGACAAAGTTTGCCAATCTTCAGATTGAAAACGCCCTAATTCCGAGAATTTTCATAAAATATTTGTAGATTACGATGAGAAGAAGCTATTTACGAAATTTCAGCCAGATGTTAATAATTCGATAAAAAGGGGTCTGTACTACGGACTAATAGTAGTCAAGCATAATTTTGACATTTTTGGTTTATTATTTTTAATAATACATTTGTAATCAACCAAAAATTTGAGGTGTCACTTTTTAGAGAATTCAAAAATCTAATAAAAAAAATAGTCCCTCTGCCGTCTGCAACTTTTTCCCGAGAATACTGGGCCGATTGATTTGAGATATGGAATTTATCTCAGAGATCCTTAAATGATGAACGTCCTAACTCGACATTACCATCCACCCTTTTATTACAAAATGGAGGCTGAAAAGCCTGTGTTATTATAGACTGTAGTACCATGATGGCTGTTACAATGTTAATGAAACTTGCTGTTTTCAATTTGAAGATCTTAAAATTTATGAATATAATATACTTCTTCGAAAAGAAATGAGAAAAAAATTATGATGAATGTAGAATTTTATTTGTGAATAACATGAAAATTACACACTTTTTGGTTGATTATGTTCAGTCTAGGTATGGTTGAAAGTTAACAAATAAAACAAAACATCGGAATGAGACAATTTGGAGCATATATAATGTTTTAAATGTTTAGCATGTTTTCTACTGTCAAGTTGATCTCCTTTCTTTTGGTTATTAATTACAAAAAAAACTTTTATATCATAGCAGTTGGTCTATTATCTTTGATATACATTGTAAGTGCCAATTACAAAACTGAAAGCCAATTTATGCTTATCACATTGAATGAGATGATTCATCCAAAATTACCATCAATTTTTTTTTTAATTACTCTCTACTTTAACGTTTCTGCCATATGGAGTAGGAATTCCAGAGAATTCCATAAAACTAAACCAACCCTTACCAGAGTGGGAAGGTAGAGATTCATACCATGAATCAGCCACAAAATAAATTTCAACCTGTCAACCAGACTAGATTCCTACCGGCAACACTAGACTTGAGAATATTAAAACAGGTAATACTTTAATATGCTCTGCTATCAAAGTCTCCAAAAGTGACAAGTGTAAATTAACCTTAAGGAAGTTTAATATGACAGCAGAGTTATAACATGTTATTAGAACATTCCATTGCGGCTCTAGTTCACTTGGGAAGAGGTAGAACAAACTGGTTAAGATGAGACATAGAATGAGTAAATATTTTGAATAATGTTGGACAAAGTCAGTAGAAGTTTCATTCTGTAAAGAGAAATGAATGGTGGTGTGCATACACGTCCCACATACTTTCCACATACTGCTTGAGAATTGAGTCCATTCCTTCAAGTTCCCTTTTTCTTTACTGAGACAATTGTTGGAGATGAAGGTACAACCTTACTACCAAAACTTTCCTTTGCACTCATTACAACTTTTATTTAACAGATAGAAAATGTTACTATTATTATACTTCTAAAATAATTATTTTTGTTATTATTATACTTTTACCTAAATAAAATAAAGTGAAGAAGGTTCTTGGTTCAAACTATTTTCTGAATATTTAAGAGGTAGACTAAAACCCACAACATTTTTTTATTGAGAACTTTCTTTTCACAACTCCACTCGAATGGTATCAGTAGAAGTTGGAAAAGGAGATAACAGTGCTCTTACCATACAATAACATCGATGTTTTATAATTATCTATGGAAGACTCAAATAAATATTTAGTGTGGAGGAAATAAATTTCTTTAAATCACAAGAACAAGTAAACTCTTGGAAAGTATGAATTTTGATGTAATATCCTTTAATATATCAAATATATCAGTGTTCTCATATATATTGATTTGTTGGTGTTAATGATCATACACACAAATATAACAGCTATTGAAAAATTTGATTAAATTAAACTAATACACTAAAATTCAATGTTTCTGCCTATTCTATTAGGCCAATATCAAACTAATTCTATGAATATACAGCAAAGTATAATAGGTATTGACAAACCTAATTGATTTACATATAAAACTCACATGTAAGGTTCTTACTTGTTATACCAAACGAATTCTATAGCTAAACCATGATCTTAACAAGTATTAACAAATTTGAATAAATTACCTCTTATAATTTTTACATTGTAACATTTCTTCCAATCCAATTTAGGAATTATCAAACAAATCCTATATATGTAAAACATAGTACGATAGGTTTCGACCAAGCTAATTGACTAAGATTATAAGGTTTCGGCCTTTCTATTCCTATACGTATTATCGCCTTTCTATAGGAATTATCAAAAAAATACTACATATGGACACCAACAAATCAATATATAAGGGAATACTCATACATTTTATAAGGATATTACAGCTAACTTCATAATTCCCAGGAGTTTTCTTGTTTTACTGAATTGCCAATGTATTTCCTCTGCAATAAACATTTATTGAGTCACCCATACATAATTATTAAACAAGTCATTGTACAGTATAAGTACCATTACCTACTTCTTCTGATACTATCCTTCGACTGGAGTGAAGAAAAGAACGTTCGCAATCAATTTTTTTTTAGCTTTTTTTCTACCTCTTAAATATTCAGAAAATAGTTTGAACCAAGAAATTTCATTTCACTATATTTTATTATATAGAAGTATAATAATAACAAAAATAATAATTTTAGAAGGATAATAATAGTAAAAACAATAATAACATTTTTTATCAGTTAAATATAAGTTGTAGTAAGTGTAAAGGGGAGTTTTGGGAATAAGGAAGGTACCTTTATCTCCACCAACTGTCTCTATAATGAAGAAGGGAACTTGAAGAATTAGACTCTAATCCCAGGCAGTTAGGGATAGAAAAAGAATGAGAAACTATGCATACCACTAGAAATCTAAAAAGCTGTGATCAACATACAGATACCTCCAAAACTGGTAAAACTCACACACACGACAATGGAGGGTAACCTGTGATGCGTGCAAATGTTCGGAGACCTCTCGAGAAGCTTCAACACAAGGACGGTAGTCCGTAAGGGCAATGGTTTAGCCTGTCTAATATTTAATTTAACTTGGTTCTTGAGACAGCTGTGAGGAACTTCAATACTCAGATCACAGAACCATTTGAAGGACACTTCTAAACTGACTTTTTCAGGTGCTTGGATATGCAAACCATCTGGATTTTGCTGGAAGGAAATTGGAGTGCATCAGGAAGGTTTTTGAAGCTCTAGAAATAGCAGTAGCGCTATGGGACTCCTAATGAACTCAGATTAAACAAAATACAAGAGTGTAAACACCAAGCATGATAACTGGAACTGTCTGGGTTTGAAAAAGACCCTGAGGAGAATTTTGGGGCTGCAGAAGCAGAGAAGTCCATAACAGGACTTAGATATGGTCAATGTGATTAAATTCTCTCAACTGAAATGAGCAGGGCACATCGGAATGAATTCAGAGGAAATCCCATCCCATGTCCTATCAAAGAAACTATTTGGAGCACGGATGGTTGGACGCCCTAGGCTCCGATGGGAAGACTTTGTTGCTATTGATGCATTATTGATACTTGGCAATGGTAACTGGAAGGCAGCAGGACAAAACAGAAATGACTGGCGTTCAATGATGGAGCAGACCAAGACTCAATTAAGGGCCGTTGAGCCGTATAATAATAATAATAAAGTCAATGGAAGGAGCCTTTTTCTACCTTTCTTGAAATTAGAGATGGTCAGGAGAGCAACCGCACCATCAACTCTCTTCTTATTTTATATACCAGTAGAAAATTGGATTATATATAGCAAAAAAAAATAGAATTAATAACTTAAAATAGAAACATAATTGCTATTTTTTTTGTAGCAAGATAATTAAAACAGAAGTACTGACTTTCAAGGAACTTTTAGCAAGTTATTCAAATTATTACGATGAAAAAGTGAATCCATATTTAATTTAATAACTGCAAACAAAATTAAAGTGAAACAATATATGAAAAGTAGACTTTAATTACATCCGTCAATGAATGAAGAGAATGAAAACCATGAAATGAAGCCGTAAAAACTTACCTTGTAACATTTATCACAGTATCTATAGAAAGGGGTACTATTAGATAGTCCACACTGCACACAATTCTTAAATAAATAAATGTTTCTAAAAAATCCTTCTTTTTCAGAGGAATCAGAAGAATTATCACAGGCATCGTTTTCAGAAAAGATTAAATTTTCTGCATCAATTTCATAAGTTTTGGCAACATCCATAATATCCTAAAGAAAATGCAAAAAATATATAATTATAATAAATAAAAAGGAAACTGACATAAATTCAACTTTATAATTTGTTACATGAATGTACAATTAAATGTTTTTTAACCTAATAACCATCCTCGTAAAAATAATACCATATGCCTGAGAATTTAGAAAAAATTAATATCTAAAATAATAATGTCTTCTTTTATTATTATTGAAAGGAAAATACACATTTTTATGCAAAAGAAATAAAATTATAATAAATACAACTTTTAAAATTAATTTCCTCTTGGCAAAGCAGAAATGTAAATATGTGTTTGTATTTATAGTTTAAGTAATATTTCCAAGGTTAATTAAATTAAAAAAACAAAACAACATTAGGAAGTGAAAGATGTGATGAACCACAACAGATTTTTAAACTAATATCCACATTTTTAAAAGTACTTTATGCAGCTCTCTAAGGAAACCCACTTACTTTTTCCCCCCCTCGAATAAATAGAAAATACATACATCTCTCAGGATATGCAAGATACTCCTTTGAAAGATAATCATTAAGCCCATATTACTATAGAGTATAAAACCCATAAAATTTTGTAATTTTTCTACCATAACTTGCTAAGGAAAAGAACCATACTTGAATAGAATTTTAGGAGTGCTGTTTAAAACAAATATTTATTATTTTCCTACCCTGACTAGGTAAAGAAAATACTGTTGTAATTCAAGCAAATAGTTAATATACATGTTTCGATAATAATTGCATTTATAAACCTCTTGAATAAAAAATATAGCTTATTTTTTTGGCCTTTTTAGTGTACTTCTGCCTGATCCACAATTATTTATCTCATGAATAGGTGGAATGATTTTGTAACTTAATTCCCAACTGTTACACCAGGAAAATATTTTACTTAGATTATTTATTTTCTTATTATTGAAAGTAATTAGTGCCTTTATTCAAAGTTTTCAACTAGAAAATTCAAAATTCCTATTTTCAACGTCAACTCATTCAACAATCCCTTTCATTCTGTGATTTTTTTTTATTCAGGGAACCTAAAATTCGACTCTTAACAACTGTAAATTTGTAGTCATCATCACAGCCAAGGCCATAAAAAAGAAACTTCTTACACTTTACCCAATAAGACATCTTTAACTTGGAAATATTATGGTTAATATGTGTATGTTTTTCTATCATTCCCCATCTTACTTCTTTCAATTCCATCTCCCCAGGTACTCTACAACACCTTCATTGACTGACCTACGATCTACTTAATTAGGTTTCATTTTCATTCAAACACAGAACAATAAGAAAAATATATATTTCATAACAATACATCTTTAGGATTCCACTAATCCTGAATTTCATTTTCCACAAAAAAAAAAAAAAAAAAAAAAAAAAAAAAAAAAAAAAAAAAAAAAAAAAAAAAAAAAAAAAAGAAATGTATATATATAGTGTAAACAATAACAAAATGTAAGCTTGTGCAAATACTTTTGAAACAGACTTTTTTTAGTTCTTATTTGTTTATTAAGTGATTTAGTTTATGTAATTGGTCGACTTTTAGTTACATGGTTGCTCAAATAAATATAGTTTCTATCAAATAAGTTTTCTAGTTTTAAGTCATTCCACATTGAATATAAAGCCAAAAGTTGCTTTGTGCAAATATCTAAGATTAGCGCCATAAAGCATTGTTAACTTGCACAAAAGATTGTTAAATTCATTAAAAGCTGAGATTTAGAAAAATTAAGTAACTCTAAAATCTCAACCCATTTTATTATATATTAAACCTTCTTCTTCTTTTCTTCTCTTCTTTATGCCTCTCAGCACGGAGGTCTATCCAGCCATCGCAACCAGACATACCGGTCTCTAGAGAGTGCCCTCATTTCTCCCATCAACGACAATCATTAATAACTTACTCAGGAATCAACTTGTTCACTGTCTGTATAGATTTAACTTTTATAACTAGAAATATCACTAAAATTACATTACTCAAAAATGTTGAAATTGGAGTTAGTCATTCTGTCAACTGAAAGGTTCAGACTGAAATTATGTGATTTATAAAACTAGATTTTTATTGCCTACCATCAATATAATAAATAGAATTTTTGTAATTTTAATGGTCTAAATGATTTCTTATCTGTAAGCTTTAAGCTTTATCTCTGTTTATAATGCACTTAAAAAAGTTTATAATAGCCCAACATTATCAGAAAATAATTTCTATTCAAAGTAGAAGGATAAGTGAAAGTTGTGTGTCGCCCGCATCAGATTTTTCACAATGGATTGAACATTTAGTCATTTAGATTCTTGGTCTAGTTTGTTAAAATTTTGTTTTCTCTATGTCAAAACTCCAACAAAAAGGTATTGATGTAAATAGTTTAAATAAAAAAGACTGATTCACTAAAAAAAATACTTGTGTTGATAAAAGAAAATCATGTGCAAATACTTTTGAAACATATTTTAATTATTTTATATTTATTTAGGAAATGATTTAGTTTTGATTTTTAATTGTTAATTTTTAGTTTAATAACTATCTAAATAAAAGAGGAATCCACTAAGTTTTGTAGTCATATTTCGATCTAATTCAAATTTAAAGTGTATTTTTTTTTTTACTGCCACTGTACATATGTGTTAAACATTGAATTTCATAAGTAATATTAATATACGAGTTGATACAAAATGTTGATATTAATAATTAATATTAATAATCACATAAATTCAGGCCTTCATGAGAATTTTGTCATAGAGGCAGAGAGCTATGCATGGAAGCACAGGCAGGCGCATGCATACACCTGCTCAAGCTCACACTCTATTCTATAGAGCTTATACACTTCTGTTCAGTTTTAATCAATACAATTAATAAATTATATTGTCTAAAGCTAGAATCACAGATAAATGGAAATTCTTATCAATAAGATCAGCATTTAACCAAAAATTAAATAAATATCTGTTATTCATATATAAAATTGAAAATTACTAAAGAAATTTAAATGAACAAAACTGGAGTGTCCAGTCATGCTTTTCAAACAAGACACTCAAAATGATTTTTATGAAAGCTAAAGCAACAAGGGATGAAATAGAGGAGAGAATAGAACAGAATATCCAGTATGAAAAGAGAAAATATTAAACACAACCATAAATCCCATACAACAAAATCTTAAAATAAATGAACTAAATCAAATCATGTATATCATCCATTTAATTCATGTGTTTTAGTATTGATAAATAAAGTATTTAAAAGTTTAATTCAATCAAAAATGTACTTAAAGACTTTTTGTGATAGTCCAACAATAAAATTTTAATCTTAACCAAGAATGACTGCATTTTAAAGTGCAACTAAATAATATTTAAAAAAAAAAATATATATATATATATTTTATAGATGATGTAGCAGCCTTTCAACCTTAAGCTACTAAAGATACTGCTTTACAGAAATCCTATTGTTTGAGTAAATAAAAGTCTATGAATTGAATACCATATAAAAGAATTGTATAAACCTAAGTAATTAAAATACAGTACTGTTGATTATCTAAACATTCAATTAGCTTAACAGATTACATAAAAACACAGCTAAACCAGTCAAAATTTAAATGTAGTAATGTAATTAAAGCTAATTGAGGCCCAGATTTTAACTTAAAGAACAGGTTCGTAATCGAAATCTAAATAGAGGTTAGGGTGTGCCTACCAAACCTGTGAACATCTTATGAATACACGGTCATTCTCAAAATTTCATTTTTAGTGTGATTATGAGATCTTGTCCCCACCAACTGTAGTAGAGCAACAGTTGTACAGTAGCATTAAAACCTAAGTAGACTGATCTGTATTCAAAAGTTTGGAAATTTTTTATTACACAATAACTTTTTTTATTTAAATTGTGCATTTATTTGTATAGCTTGCTATAATTTAATAATTTGAATAGAATTTAATTATTTTCAGAAACGAAGTAGAAAATTATTGACAAATTTAATCCGTAACATTTATTTGTGCTAATTTACCAAATTTCTATTCATTAAAACTGAAAGTTTACTTCATTAATACAGAATCAGCAGCTTATTTGGACTTGATTTTTATACTTATAAGTGGATTTAGTATTTGACAACATTTGATTGTATCGATTTTATATACTTTGCAATGATTTTTTAGCCATTTTTTTTTAAATGAAAGCCACTGCTAAATTCTTAGGAATAGGATTATCTTTTTCACTATACACCACTGATAAACAGAGATGCTTTATAACAGACATGGTTATTTTACGTCTTTCTTTTTAATTATCAATTTAAATGAACTTAAAGATAGTATGAATCATCCCACACATCAGTTCAGAAAATTGATGTTTAACAGAATAATAAAGCCTGAACTATTAGGCATTCATTCCGACCATAGCACACATGTATATTATAGTAGACCACGATTAGTTGGCAGCCCTAGGCGAACTAAAGCAGCAGTAGGTTGAAACTTATTTTGGATTTTTCTAAACTCTCCTATGTTACTTACAAAATATTAACACATGTATACATAAATAAGATGACAATATCTTTTAAAATGTGTATATAAAGTATCAGGTAATTATATGATTTATAAGTAATTTCTTTTCTATTCTATATAAGTAATTCTAAAATTGTAAGTAATTTCTAGAGATCAACCAATACCGAGATTAATATGAACGTATCGGTTATATCGGCCTTTTGGCCGATTATCCGTATCGGCCAATATCAAATGCATAGCATAGATTGAAATCCTAAAGACGGAAATTTCTCACGTCACTACATGTTATATCTAACTTCAGTTTATAGGCTATAACCCTTAACATAAGAGTAAACAGACATAAATATTATAAATTAAACAAAAACTATGACTTTTGCATTTTATGTACACAATTTTGCACTTTTTGGATTTTTACTGCACAATTTTGCAGTTTTACATTGCATGTTTTTTTGGGTTTTTACTCCACGAAAATCCGGTCTCTACTGATAAATATGGTAGTGAAGCCGATATATCAGTGTTTGGAATATTAGTATCCGAAGCCAGAAAAGGCCAGTAAGCAAAAAATCAAAAAAAAGGTTAAACTCTACCAATCTTGATAAAACAAGGTTGTGAGGGGCGGTCTCTGTTCGGTTATATGGGTCTTTGCTCAAATTTATATTCATTTCGATATCTTGACGATTGACTGACACATTTATTTGCAATCAAAATAATATTCCAAATTAAACTTTATAAATCTTGATAAAATAAGGTCATAAGGACTATATAGCTCTTTAGAATATTGGTTTAAGCTCAAATTTTGTTGAGGATGAAAAAAAATGTGTGGATATATATATATATATATAAGTTTTTAGAACATTGGTATCAGCTGAAATGTATGTATGAATTTAGCCCTAGATGATTGATTGATACTTTCATTCAGTAATTATGAGAATTTTCTGTGCGACAATGTACAGAACCAAGCATATAGGAACGAAAGACCAATATGCTGAAATATATGTTCATCTCTCTTTTATCGATTTAAATTTGTGTATAAGCCGATGGTCTATAATTTCTTTTATTTAGGAATGAGTAGGATATTCCATGTGAAACTGTACAAAAATTACAGAAAAGGAGGGAAAAAAACTGATATGGCCGATATATCGGCATCGGCCAAAATTTCGATATTGGTCGATCTCTAGTAATTTCAATTTGAACCAGATGTTTCTTAAGACATAAACCTAATAATAGGTCATAAAAGTTTTGATCTAAATAAATGCCCCAGCCTAAACAAAGCCTACCTATCATCTAACGTTTTTCAACATGCCATACCTCAATAAAAGTAACAATTTAGTCAAGCTGAGAGAAAACATATTTAAATTTAACTTTCACAGGAAAAAACAAATACCTCAGGTGGAGAAGACGAGTCCCTTAAAGAAAAAGGATAAACGGGGGTGTCAGAATTAGACACTACTTCAAATTCCACCATTGAATCTTCACTTTTTGTTGAAGTATCAGAGGTGTCTTTCGCAGTATCTACAAATAAAAATATTCAATATTAAATTGGTTCCTGAATACACAAAATAACTCAAAATAGTTAAGTGTAATACCGGTAGTCCGTTGCTGAATACTGTAAATGCTTTCATTTCCATCTGAGGAATAGTCAGTTGATTCAGGTTCGAGAAGATAATAATACTTGGGCCTTTTGATCAGTTCATCATCACTTTCTAATAAAATATTGGGCATTGATTAATCAGATGAACAACATATGAATACATTAAAGTGTTAGTTGTTGAATGTCATACCATCACTTGTAGTTCTATGTCTCTTGAAAAGATTGGTATCTGAACTAGTTGCCACTAGAAGTAGGATAAAGTTTTAATTTAGGATTCACAAATGAAGCATAAAAGAATACAAACAATCTAGATAAAATATTCACGAATCAAAATTTATAACCTCTAGGAAATAGGTACACAACTGATAACAAACCGAAGTTTAATACACTCTAAAAAACATTATCACTATAAATTACAATTAAAATTAAATTAGTAAAATTTATAAACGATTACCTCGGTTCATCTCAACAACGGTCGGTAAGTACTACTAACTACACAAGCAACGCCAAGAATGAATCGTTACAAGGCAAAGCTGATTACAGAGGACAGGTCCTAACATGAACCTCATACTGACGTCATCGAAGCTAAAACAATTCTTTTATTAATATTTAAATGTTGTTTTTAAATATAATAACAAGAAATAAAATACTGGACAAATATTGTTCTATTGTGTTTTCAGATTGAACATATTTATTCTCATAATAAAAACAGAACTTTATTTCTATTTAATAAATAAATGTAGTCTTTATTTCGCAAATGAACGATAGTAAATTACTACATAATTAAAGTAACATTAATATTACAAGACATGGGTGTTTTTTTTATTTTATTACTAATTTTATTTTCCAATTCCACAAAAAAAGTCAATTTTAAAGGTTATCTTCTTCATAATTTACTTCAAGATACGCAAATGATGAGCTTAATGATCAATTGTAAAGAAATTATTAGCTTTTGTTTGTTGTTGGCAATAAAAGCTTTCAATTGTAAATTGAATTGTTGTTGTTATAAGCGTACAATTCAATACAAGTTATAATATAAAATTATAGCAAAATTGTTTATTTACTAAATTTCACGAATTTTAGCAAATAAACAATTTGTTTTATACTTGGAAGTTTTTATTGCCAACAAGAAAAAAACTAAACAGCTTCTCAACAAAACAGAAGAAAGGAATTTTTTATTTAGGAATTAGAAATTTTTAACGAGATCAATGAGTTGAGTTAAAATAATAATAACTCAATAAACATTTTGGAGGGTCAGAAAAAAAAATGATGAGTTAAAAATATTAATTAATAAATTATTTATGCAATAAAATTAGTCTATTTCAACAACCAAAGAATAGAGGAAAAACGAACATTGATAAAAAAAAAAAAAAAAAAACGGTATTTTTTTAAGTGATTTTTTGCTATCTTATTAGTTTAATTTTCTATAAAATTGTTTAACAATTTAACAATTAGACACCTCTATCCTTGAACTTATATTAATCCTCCTGCTGGATTGATCTACGGGACAACACCAATTAGCTGCAGCGTATCCATTCTTACCAGGATCCTGGTATTTATAAGTCGCTTTAACGTATTGTACGAAGTACGAAGATCGACCAACTTCGTACTTCGTACATAATATTGGCTTACGTAAATTTATATTTTTATTAATGAAGTTTAAATTTGTTTTATACTTATTTTACTGCTGTTACTTATATTCATATGTGATACTAACGTCCCGGGCATGACGTTAAACCGCGACCTGGGTGGACAGGACTCATAGCCATAGTGAAGGCAACCTGTCTAGGAGAAGGCAACCCCAAAATCAAACCATTGTCGTTGCAGTTCAAAACAAGGTTGATCGTAGGGCCAGCACCCAAAAATATTTCGTTTTCAAACCGAAAACAGAAAGAAAACCGGACGGATCTAATCGGCAACGACTTAAGGCGCGAAAATGGAACATGTTTTTTGGTACGTGGAATGTCCAAGGTTTGAGGACCAAGAAAAACGAGGTGGAAAATGAACTGAAAAAGCAAAATATCGATTTGGCGGTCCTCAGTGAAACTAAAATCAAAGGAAGTTACAATGAACTTTCAGGAGATTTCGTGTATATCTACAGTGGAGTGGAAAAAAGTGAGAGAGCTAGAGCAGGGGTTGCAGTGGTGATTAACAAAAGATTGCGCAGGTAGATTAAAAATTATGAATGTGTAAATGAAAGAATAATTAAACTTGAAATGGCATTGTTCGGAGAAGAGGTTGTTATAGGTTGCTCCAACTGAAGATTCCAAGCAATCCATAAAAGACACGTTTTTCGATGATATTTGCCACTCGATAGAGCGAACACCTGACCGTAAGATTGTTATCTGTTTGGGCGACTTCAAAATGGGTGAATTACTTTGAAGAATTATTTCATGAGGAACGACCCGAATTCACATGGAACCAATCGGATGAAATAATATAAAATAAGGAAGATATACCGCCAGTCACAATCATAGAACTGGATTCAGTTCTCAAAGGAATGAAAAATAGAAAATCTTCCGGCCCTCGTTCTATTCCAATCGAATTAATTAAAGCAGGCCTGACCGAACTTAAAATGGCACTGGCAGAAAGTATGACACTTCTGTTAAATGGTGGAGAGATCCCCGAAAAATGGAAACAGAGTTATATCACCCCAGTTTTCAAAAAAGGCCGAAAGAAAGACGTTTCCAACTACAGAGGTATTACTGTTACCAGCTCGCTGAGTAGATTATACGGCCGGCTAATTAAAAGCAGAATTGAAAATGACTTACAGGAAGAGATCAGCGAGGAACAGGCGGGTTTTCGAGCTGGAAGATCATGCACTGATCACATTTTTAGTCTCTCACAACTTATAGAAAAGAAGATTATACAAATATCAAGAAGCCCACGACCGTGAACTCCACATGATATTTGTAGATTTACACAAAGCCTACGATTCCAGTACCTCTAGCGAAATTGTGGAAAGCTTTGGAAGCCACATCTATTAAGAGATACCTCATCAGAGCAATTCAAGAGCTATATAAAAATATAACGGGGGCTATAAAAATAGGAGATAGAGTATCTAGAAGCTTCTCCATTAACAAAGGATTGAAGCAGGGGTGCTGCCTTTTACCCCTGATTTTCAACATTTATATAGAACAAGCCCTTAAAGACTAAAAAAGATCGTGCTGTGGAATGGGTGTTCAAATCGGAAATGATGTAATCTACAATTTGCAGTATGCCGATGATCAAGTCATAATCGCATCGGATCCGGATGATCTGAGCTATATGATGAGGAAGTTGCTAGACACGTATTCCAGATGGGGTCTGAAGATCAGTGAAAGTAAAACAGAGTGCATGGTTTTCAACGCTCCAAATTTGCCCCTTGAAATTGATGACTGGATGCTAAATGTCAGCCACCAGTTTAAGTACCTCGGATACTGGTTATCTTCAAAGGGAGTGAGGTTGACATCGAACATAAAATAAATGATGGGAAAAGAATAATAAGTTCGATAAGTTCAACCATATGGAGTAAAGAAATAAAATTAGAAACTAAAAAGAAGATATACCATTCCTTTGTAGAAAGCGTAGCCACTTACGGATCAGAAGTTTGGACAATGACATAATAATAATAATAATAATAATAATAATAATAATAATAAGGCTTAGCGAACCCGAAGGCTCGATGCCGAAACCACCAATCGCTTGTTACACACCTCCCTCCACCGTTCGCCGTCCAAACCCAGTCCCTTCAGATCGGCTTTAATGCAATCTTCCCACCTTCGCTTCGGTCTACCCCTCGGACGCTTACCATTCGGCACAGCAAATATTAACCTTTTAGGAATTCTCTCGTTACTAAGCCCAACAACTTTACAAGCCCATTTGATTCGCCGTGATGAAATTACCTCAATTATATTACCCGGATACAGCTCACGCAATTCGGCGTTGTGTAACCGTCTGAACTCTCCGGTTAACTCATCCTTCTTCGGTCCGAATATTCTACGCAATACTTTATTTTCAAAAACCTTAAGACGCTGCTCATCCCTTAATGTAAGCGGCCAAGTTTCGCATCCATAAAGAACTGTAGGCAAGATAATTGTTTTATAGATTCTAATTTTTAAGTTACGGGACAAGAGGCGCGAACTAAGTAGTTTTGTCACAGAAAAATAACAAGCATTCCCCGCCTTCAGTCTAACCTTAATCTCTTCTTCAATTTCGTTTTTTCTAGTTATCGTAGAACCTAGATACCTAAATTTATCTACCTGTTCAAACATATTACCATCTATATCGACATCACCAGTAGTATCGCCATTTTTGCAGCTAACCATATATTTTGTTTTATCCACGTTTATTTCGAGTCCTAGTTCTTTACCGGCTTTCATTAACGTTGTCGTATTTAGTTTTATAGTTTCAAGGTCTTCGCTTAACAGTACCAGATCATCAGCATAGCCCAGCACGGATGTTGTCCCGCCCAGATCCAACCCTTTCTCGGTTCGCATTACCTCCCTAATGGCATGTTCTAATGCCAAATTGAACAGGATAGGCGAAAGAGAATCCCCCTGTTTTAAGCCCGTACGAACCTCAAATTTTTCGGACAAATTATTACCGATTCTAACTTTATTGAGTGTCTCCGTCAAGCACATCCTGACTAGATTTACTAGTTTTTTTGGAATCCCCTGCTCGATTAGAATATTATACAGTTTCTGGCGGTCAATAGAATCGTAAGCCTTTTTAAAATCTATATACAGCTGGTGAACAATACCGTTATACTCCAATTTTTTCTCTAATATTTGCCGTAAAGAAAATATTTGATCAATTGTCGAACGATTCCGTCTAAATCCGCATTGGTAGTCTCCGATAATATCCTCGGCGTATTCCGTGATTCGACTGGTTAAGATTGAAGTTAATATTTTATAACATACCGGAAGGAGTGAAATTCCTCGATAGTTATTACAATCCGTCCTCGGACCCTTTTTGTGAATCGGAATAAGAATAGATTCTTTCCATTCTTCAGGTAATTTCTCGTTCACCCAGATCTTTTTAACCAACCGATGTATTTTAGAAACTCCAGCTTCCCCGCATGCCTTAATTAGTTCAGTAGGAATATTATCGATTCCCGCTGCTTTATATGATTTTAATTTTCCGATAGCTACTTCAACTTCCTCTTTACTTGGTCCTTCTATTAACGGTTCAGCACTCTGGTACTCAGAAGGAGGACACAGATCATAATTTCCCGTATTTAAAATATTGTCAAAGTGGTCCTTAAACTTATTCAATATGTCAACCGGATCGGTCAGAATATTGTTATTATCATCCCTAATTCCAGACGTTACGGGCCCTACATATTTACGTGATCTGTTTATACCTTTGTACATGTCTCTTACGTTATTTTCGATTCTATTAGTTTCTATTTCAATTATTTTATTTTTAAGATACTCCCTTTTTTTATTTTTGAGCAATTTTGTCGTTTCGTTCTTTGAGATTCGGAAGTATTCCAGATTGTCTTCGCTAGGATTATTTAGAGCTTTTAATTTAGCGGTTTTTCTTTTTTCGCACATGTTTAAGCAATCTTCATCAAACCACGGTTTGTTATTCTTATTTTCCTTTTTTCCTAGACACGAGTTACCGACCGCTT